CCCCTTCCTAACTCCCTACCTACACTCACCTTTACTGGCTCCATCCCCGCCTCTTCGACCTGTTTGTTTCCTCTCCACCTATCCTCTCCTCTATCCCTCTTCTATCCGCCTCCCACTCTCTCCCTATTTATTTCAGAACCCCCTTCCCCTCCCCCTTTTCTGATGAAGGGTCTAGGCCTGAAACGTCAGCCTCTCTGCTCCTATGATGCTGCTTGGCCTGCTGTGTTCATCCAGCCCTGCACCTTGTTGTCCAGTATTGTTCTGTTGCTCCCATGTATACATAGCATGTATAACCCAGAAACAGGCTGTTTGCCTAACAAGTCTATGCTGCTGTTTATGCTCTATGAACGTTGCCTCCCACCCCTTTTAATTTACCTCCCATCGATGTATCTTATTTTAATTCATTTTTCCCTCCTTCCAGTTTTGCCTTTAAGGCAGTTGTGCTGTTTTTCTCAACAGATTCTGATTCTCTGGGTAAAGAATTGTCGCCTGAATTCCCTTTTGATTTTAGTCACTATCTTCTTAGAACCAGTCTCACAACTAATTGGAACATTCTGCCTACATCTCCCATATCAAACCCTTTATGACCTCAATTGGTCACTTTCAGCTTCTCAAATCTATGGAAAGGAGACCCAATCTCTTCAAACTGTTCGACCTTTCCTGATTGGGGATCACAACCGTTCATGAATTTATTACACCAGTTTTCTTTGATAATTTTACCTTGTTTTCTTTTGCCTCTAAGCAACAATTTGTCTGTGATCAGTGATTCAGCATTGTTTGAACATTCAAGAACAGAACGGTCTGATTGATCAGCATTGCATCCACGATCTTAAACATTCACTCCCTCAATCACCACACACAAAGTCACTAAACCATATTAACTCTGATTATTATGGCAGGTAACATAGGTACTTGTGTCGCCGTTAAACTGTCAATAATTCCTTTAAAGCTGCCTTTTAGTCTCTGGCTGCCGCTTTCAGCATCACCCTGCTATCACTGCCTGTTCTTGAATGTGTCTCTTTGTCCACCCAACAGCTTCTTATTCCTTCTGCCTCTCGCAATGAGTATACATGTGGCCTTCACGTTTTTCTCTGTCCTTATGACCTTCTCTACCTCTTCGTAATATCTAATCCAATAGTAATCTATTACATCTGTGGATATGTGAAAGGCTTTAGCGTGGAATTAATAAACAACTACCAGCCTTTTTCTGTAATAGCAAAATTGGATGAATAGCTTTCCAAGTCAAAACATCACTTTGTTTCCTCTTCTGCTTGGGCCTCATTCATACTAGAAAATTGTCTTATGACCATAAGCAAGCCTCCAGAATATCACCCAACTCTTCATTCTTCATGTTTGAACCAAAATTTAGATAAAAGCTGAATCGTTAGTCATGTTGTTTCCAGCTAAAATCCTTCCAGAGGCGATACATACTAACACATGTCCAGGAGGAAACAGCAAGCACAAAGATTTTGAGCTTCCAGTTGCCTGTCACTTCAACACACCATCGTGTTCCCTGGCCAACATCTGTCTCAGGCTTCCGGCAGTGCTTCAGCACAAGCTGGAAGAACGGCACCTCATTTTCCGCTTGGGAACTCTACAGCCTTCTGGACTCAATACTGAGTTCAACAATTTTAGACTTGAGACGTCTCCTCCTATGCCCTCACCCCAACCCCCACACACTAGGCCTTGTTATCATGTGGTCTGTTATTTGCACACCACCCATCATTAGCCACTAACTGTCCACTAATAGCCATTCATCCTCTCAGGCTGATCATTATCCACTGCTTTGTCTGTCCAACTGTTCTTCTTTTTCTTTGGGCTCTATCTCCATCTATCATTAACTCCAACCACTACCCCTCCCAATCTTCTGCATAAGAACCAACTTTTTCTGTAAGTTCTGAGGAAGGGTCATTGATCCCAAAATGTTAACTCTGATTTCTGTCAGACCTGCTGAGCCTTTACAGTAATTTCTGTTTTTGTTTCTGATTTCTAGCACCTGCAGTTCTTTCACTTTTTAAACACAAAGTTGTCCCTCCCTCTCAGATAGGCTAACTCTGTCTTAAATTAGTACATGGTTGTAAGGTTCTTTGGGTATTAGAAAGTGGTGCTGATGGTGATACCTAACCCAAATTAGCATTATTCATTTTAATTTTAAAATTTTGTCTGTATATTCTAATAGCAGAAGGAAAAGGTTTTGACAAGTTTGTGCTTGCCCAGCTGACTCAGCTGTTCATGACTATGAAACTGGAGTGCCGAACCTATGAGGTATGAAGGTTTTTAACTATTCACTTTGTCTCATTACAAATTGACTGTGCTTCCTATATATTGTACATGGTTGAGGTTTTTGAAATTATAGAGTAGAGGGGAGAAACTGTTCCTGCTTGCAAAAGGATCAGGAACTAGAGGGTACGGATTTACAGTTATTTGGAAAAGGTGCAAATGTGATGCAATAAAAACTTTCTCACAGAGTGATTGATTTGCTCTGGAATGCACAGCCAGGAAATGTGGAGGCATGTTCAATTGAGGGATTCAGGAAGTTATTGAATATTTCTATCCAACTAATCAATGTGCATGGGTATGGTGAACAAGCAGGAGATTGGCAGTAGGTAATGATGCTCATTTGACAAGCAGGTACAGACATGATGGGCTGAATGGCTTTTTCTACACGACAACATTTCTGTGATTTGGTGAATCAAGATCAAGTTTAGGCTTTGAACGAATCAGAGGGAGAAGATTAATTGCACCAGGGCACATGGACACTGTTAAGTTTCCAATTTAAAGTCATACTGTAGACGTCAAAATTTTGGTTCAATCAGATTATTTCTGGGAGAAGGGATGGCTTTTTGCTTAGCTACAGAGTGGTGTTGTATTAGAATTTTCTGAATCAGGACATCTGACTTGAGTTTGGTTTCCTGACTGTTCAACCAAAAAATACCATATGCTGCAAGTTGTTAGTTGTCTGAGTTGATAGGTTTAGTGAGATCAAAGAGATATTTGAGATTTTGTTGAACAATGGATACAGCAGATTACCTCAAACTAATTAAATTTGAGGATAGAGAATGTAACGGGGACAATGGAAAAAGAACTAGAATGAATGAGTGTCAAATTAAATGCAGAGAGAAATAAAATGAGGGAAGAAAAGATTGGATTGGGAAAGAGATGAGAAATGAATTTTTCAATAAAGGAAAAGTAAGAAAGCAAACTATTTAAAAATTACATTTAGAGGGTTTATAAATTATCATCTGTAGGAATGAGACACCGCAGTTTGCGTAACAGCAGCAGAAATAGGCCATTTGGCCCGTTGAGTCTGCTCTGCCATTCAGTCATGGCTGATATGCTCCTCACCCCATTTTCCTGCCTTCTCCCCATAATCTTTCAACCCATTTCCAATTAAAAATCTGTCTAACTCCACAAATTTTCTCACTGACCCAGCGTCCACTGCATTTTCGGGTTGTGAATTCCACAGATTCACAACCTTTTGATAGAAGTAGTTTCTCCACAACTCTGTTTTAAATTTGCTACCCTTCATCCTAAGACTATGACTGCTCATCCTAGAATGCCCCAAATGAGGAAGCATCCGCTCCACATCTATTTTATCCATACCTGTTATCATCTTGAATATCTTAATTTGATCTCCCCTCATTCTTCTAAATTTCGGAGAGTATAGGCCTAAACAGTTCAAACTCTCTTCATACGACAAACCCCTCATCTCTGGGATCAATCTAGTGAACCTCCTCTGAACTGCTTCCAAAGCCACTACATCTTTCCTCAAATAAGGGGACCAAAACTGTGCACAATACTCAAGGTGTGGTCTCACCACTGCTTTGTATAGTTGCAACAATACTTCCTTACCTTTATGTTTTGTTCCTTTAACTATAAAAACGAACATTCCATTTGCTTTCTTTATTATCTGCTGTACCTGCATGCTGGTTTTCTATGACTCGTGAACAAAGACACCAAGATCCCTCTGCACAGGAGCACCCCAAAGTCTCTCCCCATTTAGATAGTAGGTCGCCTTCCCATTTTTCTGACCAAAATGCATGACCTCACCCTTATCCACATTAAAATCCATCTGCCACATTTTGGCCCACTACTAACCTATCTATATCCATTGGTAAGGTTCTTATTTCCTCATTGCTATTTACCGTCCCGCCTATTTTTTGTGCCGTCCACAAATTTGACTATAGAGTTTTCTATCCCTGTATCCAAGCTGTTAATGTAGATTGTAAATAGCTGGGGCTCAAGGACCAAACCCTGTGGCACTCCACTTGTTACTACTTGCTATCCAGAAAAGAACCCATTTATCCCGACTCTGTCTTCTGTCCATCAGTGAGTCACCTATCCAAGTTAATAAATTATCCCTAATCCTACATGATCCAATCTTGTGGATTAACCTTTTGTGTGGCGCCATATCAAACACCTTCCGGAAGTCCAGATATATTACATCTACAGGATCCCCATTATCCACTTGGCTTGTTACATCTTCGCAGAACTATAGCAAATTAGTCAAACATGATTTGCCATTCATAAAACCATGCTGACTCTAATGGATAGCGTTTCGACTTTCCGAATATCTTGATATTGCTTCCTTGATAATTGATTCTAACACTTTCCCAACAACAGATGTTAAACTAACTGGTCTGTAATTTCCCACATATTGCCTCCCTCCCTTTTTGAATAAGGGCATTACATTAGCATTTTTCCAATCCACTGGAACCTTTCCCTTGTCCAGGGAATTTTGGAATATTGTAACCAATTCACTATCTCTGCCACCACTTCCTTTAATACCTAGGATGTAGGCCATCAGGCCGAGGGGACTTGTCTGCCCTCAATCCTAGTAATTTGCTGAGTACCTTTTCCCTATTGATATTGATTGTTCTAAGTTCTACCCTTTCTATTGCCTCTGACTTGCCCGTTCCAATAGGAATGGTACTGTTGTCCTCCAACATGAAAACTGAGGCAAAGTATTGATTTAGCATTTCTGCCATTTCAGTGTTTCCCACTTTTAACTCTCCGGTTTCATCTTCCAAGGGACCAACATTCACCTTAGCGGCTGTCTTCCCTTTTATATAGCTATAGAAGTTTCTGCTATTCTTTTTGATATTTTGTGCTAGTTTTCTTTCATAATTTACCTTAGCTCTTTTTATTAATGTTTTTAGCATCCTTTTGTTCATGTTTGAAAATTTCCCAATCTTCCAGCCTGCCACTGGCCTTTGCAATATGACATGACTTAGTTTTTGACTTTATATTGTCTTTGACCTCCTTGTTTAGCCATGGATTTTTTTTACCGCCCCCTTACTATCTTTCTTCTTCCCTAGGATATATTTTAGTTGTGAAGAATTGAGTAGCTCCTTAAACAACTGCCACTGCTCATCCGCTACCTTACCTTTTAGCTTTCCTGCCCAATGTACGCAGGCCAAATCTGACCTCATGCCTATGTAATTCCCTTTGTTTAATTCCGGAATACTACTGTGGGATTGCAGTTTTTTTCCCTAAAACTGAATTTTGAATTCTATGGTCACTACTCCCTTAATATGATGTCATCAATTAATCCCTCCTCATTACACAATACCAAATCCAGAGTAGCCTGCTCCCTGGTTGGTTCCACAACGTACTGCTCCAAGAAACACAATCTCTAATACATTCAATGAACTCTGCCTCCAGGCTGCCCTTGCCAATTTGATTCTTCCAATCTATGTACATGTCAAAATCATCCACTGATTATTGCTGTACCTTTGTTGCAAGTCTCTAATATTTCCTGTTTTACACTGTGCCCCACTGCGGAACAACTGTTTGGGGACTTATAGATCACTCCTCTCAAGTATTTCTTCCTTTTGCTATTTCTTATTTCTACCCTGACTGATTCCATGTCTTGATCTCCTGTGCTTATGTCATTTCTCATTACAGCACTGATCCCTTCCTTCACCAGCAAAGCTATACCACCTCTTTTTCCTTTCAGTCTATTCCTCTGAAATGCTGAGTACCCTTGGATATTGGATTTCCAGACCTGGTCTCCTTGTAACCATGTCTCCGTAATTGCTACCAAATCAATTTTGTTTCTATTCGTGCCATTAACTCATTAATTTTGTTTCGAATGCTTCATGCATTTAGATAGAAAGCTTTTAAATTTGTTCTACTGATAAATTTCCCTATTCTTTTATAAATCCTTGGTGCATAAAGGCAATCACCTGTTCTGTCCCTCACCTTTTATGCTCTGGTAACCATCTGCCACATCACTAACCTGCACTCTTACCTTCTCCTTTAATTTGGGTTTTCTAATTTCTCCTACAACTGAACCCTCCTCCTCCCTATGTAGTTTAAAGCCCTGTCTACAGCCCTATTTATGCGATTGCTAGGACTCTGGTCCCAGCACGATTCAGATGAAGACCATCGGAACAGGTCCCTCCTTCCCTGATACTGGTGCCAATGTCTCATGAATTCAAACCCATTTCTCCCACACCAATCTTTAAGCCACATGTTTACCTGCTTAATCTTATTGACCCTGTGCTAATTAGCTCCTGGCTCATGTAGTAATCCAGAGATTAACAACTTTTTGGTTCTGATTTTCAATTTAGCTCTTAGATGTTCATACTCCCTTAGCAGAACCTCTGTCCTAGTTTTATCTATATCATTGGTACCTACGTGGACCACGACAATTGGATCTTTATCCTCCCACTCCAAGTTCCTCTGTAGCCCAGATGAGATATCCCAAACCTGAGCACCAGCTAGGCAACACAACCATCGGGACTCTTGATCTGTTCACAGAGAACAGTGTCTATGTCCCTAACTATACTGTCCCCAATTACAACTACATTTCTCTTCCCCCACTTGAATGGGTCCCTGCACCATGGCGCTGCGGACATACGGCACGTCCTCCCTGCAGTTCCCATTCCTATCCATACAGGGAGCAAGACTCTCAAACCTTTTGGAGGACAAGGCTGAGGCTGCTGCAACTCTGCCTCCTGGATCCCTTTACCGGGCTCACTCACAGCCACACCCTCCTGTCCCCGACCACTGGCCAAATTCAAGTTAGTTAGTCTAAGGGGTGTGACTGTCTCATGAAACACAGCGTCCAGGTAACTGTGTCGCAACGTCCAAAGCTCAGACTCCAGCTCGTCAGTTTTGAACAGGGGTTCCTTAAGCAACTAACATTTACTACAAATATGGTCACTGGGAACCACAGTGGGGTCCACCAGCTCCCACATCATGCAGGAATAACACATCACTTAACCCTCTATCCTTATTTTATTTAACTAGTTTTGAATTTGCTTTATTTAAATTTTTTAACTGTTGTTCCTTTATCTCATGTTACAATCCCAGTTATGAGAATGCTGAACAAGCTGGATCTTTGTTAGGATCTAGCTTGATAGACCATAATATTTTAAAGAATAGAGAAACCAAGGGTAAGAAAATAAGTGACAGGATTTCAGGGTTGAACTGAAGTGACAAATAAAACCTTTATTATATAACTTAACCAAAACCAATACAAGCAATCATGATTAAATAGGTATAATGAACTGGTAAGTTAATGGTTCTAAACAATATATCTGTATATACAACTTAGCCTTTAACGTTCAGGATTAATGTAAGGTAAGTTTGTGTTAGCAGACAAAATGTGGTCAAATGTCCCACAGACCAGACTTTGAATAGCCAATGCAGTTAAGACAAATCCAGCTCATATGTTAGTGACAATGTGGATCACCAAATCCCATTAAAACTCTATTTCTTTTGCAAGGAATTTCAATTCTTGACTTTCGAAGGTCTACCCTTAGGATGTCCTCAAAGTTCTCTTGGCCTTGACTGCCTAAACGACTACTTATGTCTTGGTAGTTCAATCTCTTGTCCCAATAGCGGTCCTAAGCATTTAATTGATAGTTCAATATCAGCTTTCATCAAACAGTTAGCTACCCCAAGTTAGCTCTAAAATCTTTCTCAGTTTTATCAAACAAATACTGCTTGCGAGGAATACAATTCCAAGTCAGGATTGTATGGGTTTGGAGGGGGACTTGCAAGTAGTTGAGTAGTAACCTTCTAGAATGTAGAGGTCATGGGTTTGGAAGATGCTGTTGAAGGAGTTGTGTTAAGTTCCTGTAGTGCATGTAGTAGATGATGAAGGAAGTTAATGTTGAAGGTGGTGGCTAAGGTGCCAATCAAGCAGGCTGCTTTGTCCTGGATGGTGTCAAGTTTCTTGTGTTGTTGGAAATGCACCCGTTCAGGCAAGTGAAGAGTATTCCATCACACTCCTGACTTATGCCTTGTAGATTGTACACAAGTATTGAGGAGCTAGGAGGTCACTTAAACTGTGAAAGTAGGGGTTTAAGAATGGTAACGCAATTGAACATTGGGGCAATGGTTAGATTCTCTCACTGGAGATGGTCATTACCTGGCACTTGTGAGGCATGAATGTTACTTGCCACTTGTTAGGTCAAGCCTGTATGTAATTGTACGCTTTGCTTTAACACATTCCCTATAGGGTCAGGTTTCACATTCCCATCAATTTCTGGTTAACAAGGTTTCTTTTGAATTTTCCCATCTAATTTCTTGTTAAATCTATTTAGTATTGATGGCCTCTAGTTTTAGTTCTTTCCCAAAAGTAAAAACACTCTGTCTATGCCAACTGTAGGAAAACCTAATTTCAAAAAGTCTATTAAGTTGCCCTCTCCTTTTCAGGAGTGAAAAGATCAATCCGTTTACCCTTTCCCCATGGAAGTCATCTCACATTTAAAATGTTACCTTTCAAATATTTTCTGCACCTTCTCCAATGCCTCTATGTCCTTTTTTATTTATAATATGGTGATCAAAACTGCACAGAATACTCCAAGGTCCCATCTGCCTTTTGAGGTGGATGTAAAAGATTCAGGCACTGTTTCAAAGAGGAGCAAGGAGATTGTCCCCTGTGTTCTAACCCTGAAACAACAGCAAACTCAGGTCATTATCACTTGTTAATATTTGTGGGAGCTTGCTGTGTGCAAATTATTTGTTGCAGTTCCTGTGTTAGAACAATGACTGTGGGCAAGACTTTCCGAGGAGTGGTAATTTTGTACATATTGCCACTCCACTCCTATTTTTACAAAATGAAAAAGTTTGGGATTTCGGACAGGATATGCAGATTAGGTCTCCTTCAGAAATGCAGTGCCAAACTTCTGTTCTCACAAGTCCCTTGTAGCATAAAACTGTCAGAAAAAGGCAAACTACGCCCCTTTTTTCACAGAAGTCTGTTGGCTAGTTCTGTAACTTAAAGGTCCAGCACCACACACTTTGATGGCTGCTGTCAAAGGGTGAGGATGTAAGTTAAGTGTGAGGTTAGGGTGCCGGGTAGATAGGGGTTAGTAATGGAGCGTTTATCGGTAGGGTTGAGTGGGAGCTGTAATTGGATCTGAAGCAGGTGTCCAGAGCAGTTAGGGGGTGTCAGGTCATGGTCTGGGGTTGTAGAGGATCTGGGGGATATATATTTGAGGGTGTTTGAAGTAAGTTGGGGCTTTATTACTCAGGAGTTAAACAAGAGATTTAATAATCCTAACTTTTCCTGTCTATTTACTTAACTTCTACAAAACCCTCTTAATTTTCTGATTAAGGTTGATATCTTCCAAGAGTCCAAGCATAGGGGAATTGTCCAACGGAATCTTAAATTTCCCAGGCAAGTTTTTCAGAGCCTGATATAATGGGGATTCTGTAGGGTCCCTATGCGCATCGCCTATCAATGTTTCAGAAACAATTATCTGATCATCAGAAAATTCACATCAAGTATCACTTTGGTTGTGAAGCAGTTTGGAATGTAGGTGATTTATAATTCATGCCTTTCTTTCCAAATTTATAACTTAAAGCAGTCGTGTCCTGGGAAGTAGATAGTCCTCAGTTTATGGAACCTAATACTTTATGTATGAAACAGACATAAAAATATGTGGACTTCACAAGCTTCAAAATCTCCCCTCCCCCTACCGCATCCCAAAACCAGCCCAGCTCATCTCCACCTCCCTAACCTGTCCTTCCTCCCACCTATTCCCTCCTCCCACCTCAAGCTGCACCCCCATCTCCTACCTACTAACCTCTCCTGCCCCCTTGACCTGTCCGTCCTCCCTGGACTGACCTATGTCCTCCCTACCTCCCCACCTACACTCACCTTTACTGGCTCCATCCCCACCTCTTTGACCTGTCTGTCTCCTCTCCACCTATCTTCTCCTCTATCCATCTTCTATCCGCCTCCCCCTCTCTCCCTATTTATTTCAGAACCCCCTTCCCCTCCCCCATTTCTGAAGAAGGTCTAGGCCCGAAACGTCAGCCTTCCTGCTCCTATGATGCAGCTTGGCCTGCTGTGTTCATCCAGCTCTACACCTTGTTATCTCAGATTCTCCAGCATCTGCAGTTCCTACTATCTCTAAAAATATACCAAATTTGTTTCTCAATAGGGTCCCAGCCTTCCTTTAAAGTATCGAGTCAAATCTTTCATTACACCAGGACGCTCAGTGGAAAGCCTGGTAGATGAACAACTCTACAACAAAGTTAAGAATGCCCTGACTGATCTTCTTGGAGCAAGGAATTACTTTGCTTCCCGTGTGCTGACACCATATGGCTATACACTAGGTACAAGTACTTGCTCGTTTTTAATGTGAACAGGATAGACACCATTGACTATTAGTGATGCGTTTGTGCAGATAGTTCTCTATGTATCAAGCAATTATAACGGAGACAAAAATATTTAAGAAATGTCTGCTACCCTTTCTTCCTCGTCTAAATGGCATCTTGAATAATAATTAACGATTTAGTTTTGAATCTAAAGTAGTGAAGAGGAATTTTTTTCAGAGCATATCAGAAAATAGGAATCCCAAAGGTCGGCTTTCTGTTTTTTTTCTCCTGAATTTTTTTTTGCAGTGAACTAAATTTTCTTTCACTATTAAGATATAACTTTATCAAATATTGACTTTTCAATTAATAATGATGTTTTCTCCCTATCTTGTATTATTCTGCATCCATACTTACACAGTTCAGAGTCTTATAAGAATTTGATGATTAGCCCCTCCCTAAAAAAAAAATTTGTTTAGGACAGCTTTTAGCCTCAGCTGCTTTGCTAATTATGTGGGAGCTTGGCAACAAGTACCCAAATGCTATGCAGCTCTAAACTATTGCACTACAGTGCCTTTTGATATTATATTGATCAAATCTATAAAACAAAATTAAGCTTAGATATTTTTCCCCGAATAAAACCTGAAACCATTGCACTTTTTCAGATGCTGAGATTAAATTGGACGAAGAAGGATATGTGTTCCCTGCCTCTCAGCGCGAAGCAGTATTTAGAAGGTGTGAACATTGAATTAATGAAGCTGTTTATATTAGCTTAACAGGTGTTCTAGCAACTGTAATTGTCTATGTGTCATTTTCTGAATCCAAGGTACAATATTCCAGCTGATCTCTCATTCTGTGGAAGATTGGCAGAGTCACATTATTTGGCTATTTATGCCATTATTTCTCTGTTGAATTTATGACTGATAACAGAGGCCTCACAGGCATTTTATGCCATGGTGCTGAGGTGCAACAAGAATTGCACTTCTGGCTTTGGGAGAACATGGATGCTGACTTAAACATTAGCATCTCCTGCATTTGTAACTGCTAAAAACTCCAGTGTAAAGAGTAGCCTTTGCTTACCAAATGCACTGATCTGCACGGCAATAGTTGGATTATATCTGAGTGTCTAGGAGATGGGTTTTCTCTCTTTAATAATGCTGCAGCATTTCATCCTTGATTTAGAGACTTTAAATTGTTAGAATGTCATTCTTACACCAGCATTTCCATCAGCTTGAATCATTATTATAATTTCAAAATTTAATAGGCTGAAAAACAGTCAAGTTGGTTTGTATTCCAGAGCAAAACTATATAGACAGTTTTCAGTTGATCTCATTCAGTGGTTTTATGAATGTGTTCTTTCTTTGAAGAGAATGCTCCATGTGTTCTCCTTCTCAGGTCTGTCTGCATTGATCTACTATTTTGATTGCAGCTCACCTTTCAGAGTTAACTCTGTAGGGGATAGTGTCATCAGCATTAGTGGCATTTCAGATGGAATCAGCAGGTTGTTGCTGAAGATGATTGGTACAAATGACCTTTAAAAGAAGAATAAAAAAGGACAGTGGATGAGGATTTAAGGTCGTAAAGTTGGGGAAAGGAAGCTAAAATATTACACTCAAAGGAGCTTTCAACCAACCTAGCGTAATACAATAACTTTAACGGTCTGAAATGTGAATGTAAATGTAATGCAGGACGATTCTCTCATCTGTGTTACTGGACATGCTACAAAATACAAATCAAATCTCTACTTGACAATGGTAAGTGATTCAATATTAGTAAAACAAACTCTACAACAGCTGGAAGCAGCAGAAAGGGTAACCAGTGGTAAATGGTTATTTCAACAAAAAATAAAAACAAAAATCAGAGTTGAAGAGATAATCTAACTTCCATGGCTGTTTATTTCTAGTTTAAAGAGATTTTCCACTCAATGAGGGTTATCAAAAATTGGAATGCTTTAAGAATATAAACAAGTTCAAAACTGAAGATGATCTTTACATAATCAAAATAGAAGACAGTCGGTTACCCACTGAAAGTGTTCACTAAAGACATCAGATATAACTGCTGTTTTATCTAATGACTAGTCTTGTATATCTGGAAATGCAACTGGATTTAAGATGAAAGGCCAAATTCTTCACATTATGACTGTGTGCAAAGAATGGCACATTACATAGATGATAAATTGGATGAGAGAACTGCACACTGAAATGGAAACTTTAAATTTAAACAGACAAGGTAGGAATTACATATCATCTGTGGTTGATTTTCCTGAACTACAGCGAGGTGAAATGTAAAAGAAATGTCCTTGATCTACAAAATGCCAGCGATCTTTGAGACTGGGATTTTACCTTTCTCAATGCCAGTGTAATTCTTCTGTCAGGTCAAGGAGATTTCCAAGTAACACCAAGTAGCCTAATAGCTAAATTATATTCACGTTTTCTCACAGCAAAAAAGTAAACAGCACTGAATTTATCACTCAGTTAAAACATAGACAGTGAAGCACTCAACTAAGACATACATGAGGTTCAGCTAGAAGGTTGAATAACGAAAACTTTCTGGACAAACTTAAAAATTACCAGTGAAGAGACTGGATAATTCCATTATATAATTAGTTTTTCAGAGATAGTAAGTCTGTTTTTCATAATTATGACCATTGTATGCTATTGAAAACCTAGTTAGGCCTTACTTTAAGAAAAGGCACAGCTGGAAAGATTTTCACTATGAGACTAACAACATAAAAAGAAATGTTTCTGACAGTTCAGTGACTTTTGATTGATTGGTTTGCAGAGTGAACTAGTGGTTTCACTGACGGCAGCTTCTGGATTTTTACATATACAAGCTCCAGAAGTTGTTAGCAATTTCAGAAGAGTAACTAGTGCAAAATCTGGACGAATATTAAAAGCAAAGTCAATGCTAGAAATAGAAACCAAAAACAAATTCAGCAGATCAACATCCATAGAAAGAGAACCAGAGTTAATGGTTCAGATTAAAGACCATTTGTCAGAGTGCAGAGTTGATTTACCAGACATTGCTGACAGCAATACCATTAACCTGTTATGTACAAACAACTTCAGGGAAGGTCCAGATAAACCATTAATACAGCCTTGGTCCAAACATGGACAAAGGATGTGAACTCGAAAGGCGACGGGTGAGTGACTGATGGGTACAACACTTGAGAAACTCAACACTATCCAGGACAAAGGAGCACACTTGATTGGCACTAAACATCCATACCAATGTACAATGATAGCAGTATACACCGTATACAAGATATACTGCAGCAAGGTTCATCCAGGCTCCTTTGAGGTTGCAGGTTTGGAAGTTGCTGTCAGTCACGTACAAGGACAAGGGTATTAGATGCATGGGAATGCTACCACCTGCAAATTCCTTTCCAAGGTGCACATCATCCGACTTGTATATTGTTGTTCCTTCTTTGACTCAAAATCCTGGGACACCTTTCCTAACAGCACTGTGGGTCTGACCTCCACCCCAAGGATTGTAGAAGTTCAGGCTACACCACCATCATCTCGGCATGGGTAACAAATTCCCAGCCAATGACATCAGTCAAAATTTTTTAATAACATTCAAGTAATTTGCTGATGACAGGCAACATTGTAGACAGTGTAAATGATAGTCTTTCAATATCCTGTTGTAATTTGATGCTAAGTGGCTGGGCGAAACTGTGTAAATGTGTGAGGTTATCTATTTTGGACTGAAAAAGGATAGATCAGGGTAATTTTGACGTGGTATGAAGTGAAATACAGTGGATGTATTTAAAGAGAGACTTGGATTCAGATGCACGGGTCTTTAAAATGCACAGACAGGTTCAGAAAATAATCAAGAAAGCTAATGGAATGCTGGCCTTTATACCTTGAGGACTGGAGTACAAGGATACATAAGTTATGCTGCAGTTATACAAACCCTGGTTAGACTCCACTTGGAGTACAATGAGCTGATCTGGGCACAATATAGGTTTGTATATCTGAACTTTAGGGGTTGTGAGGAATGATTGTATAAATCAGGCCTGTTTCTTTTGAATTTCGAAGGATTAAGGGGTGATCTAATTGAAATTTTCAAGATATTAACAGGAAAAGACAGGGTAGATAACCAGTGGAAATAGTTTGGTGATTCTAGAACTAGGAGCACCATCTGAGAGTTAGAGCCAGATGGTTCAGGAGAGGTATTAGGAAGTACTTCTATGCACAAAGGGTGATAGTGGCTTGGAACTCTCTTCCACAAATGTCAGTGGATGCTGGATCAGTTGTTGATTTGAAATCTGAAAGGATTTTTTGTTAAGCAAAGGTATTAAGGGATATGGGCCAAAGGCAAATGTATGGAGTTAGGCTGCAGATCAGCCATGACCTCACTGAATGGTCGAACAGGCTTGAGGGACTGAATGACCTACTCTTGTTCCTGTGCTCCTAGAAGTTCACTACGCCTCTGACTCCAGAAATTCCATCTTACTCTCTGGCACATTGATGAAATACAGTGGAAAAACGTAAAAATGCTGTTTCTGCACAGTGGACACAAACTAATCTCGACAGAAAGTTGTCTTTTTTTTAAAATGTGATTTGCTAGTCATTGCCAATCAATTATTGAAGCTTGTGTGTGCAGTCCTATTCCTTTTGATATAGTTTTGAAAAACATTTGGCTAAAATTAAAATATTAACTTTCTTTTTTCAATCTAACAGTTATTTCCCTCTTCACCTAATTGATATTGAATTCACTCGCTCCAATATACAGCCTTCATGATTTCTTAGCTGCTAGTTACTGGAGTGTTTCTTTGTTGTCAGGTTTGAAATTGTTTTCTTTGCAAATATTATTCCCATCCCCTTGCTGGCTTCCTCTGTTGATCTCAGCATTCCTCTTTCAGCCTCCCAGTCTTTCCCAGCCCTCGCTACCCACATGTATTTTGAGTGTTGGTATCTAAGTTTGGTGTTCCACGTGACCTACCTCTCTCTCTGCAGATACCCTTTGGTGATTTTTGCGTAAAATTAGGTTATACCACTAGATGGCACTTTATTTCCTAACATATGTAGGAGGTGGAATATTTGGCTGCTCAGATGTGATTGGACAATATTCAAAGGCAAGCAGAGTTTCCTATATGCAGAATTGAAAACAGCATGGGTTGCTTGCAAATCTGGTGCAGAGCAGGCAACAACATGGCAGTCATCTGCAAACTGTAATCAGGCGTCGACTGCAGTCACTTTGGTTTGGGCACAGAAGCAACTTAGGTTAAAGGGCTTTCCATCTGAGTGATCATGATGAGGTGAATAACTATTGCAAGGGACATTGTAAATAGCATGGAAGCTATCACAGTACCTTGTTTAATTCTGGTCTGGATCTGGAAGGTATCTGTTTCAGACCTCCCACTGAAAACATGAGCAATGTTATGAAACGATTATAAGAATTATGATATCCAAAGAACCCATGATTTGCAAAGTTAAATGCTTTGGTCTGGTTGAGGATTGCAATAAAGAGTTTCTGGTAATATTCAACTTTTTTTTTTGGATTTGCCTAGCAACAAAGAGAATGCCAGAGGTACCTCGAGAAAGTCTAAAGTCACACTGTAACGCTTAACGTTTTTATAAAGGGGAATGTGTGTTTGTTGTACAGGTAATTTTTTTCTCCTTTGAGGGTGACAAATTTACAAAAAGTTCTGTTGAATTAATATAATTTATCCCGAAACATGAAGTTAGATGTGGTCACTGTCACATGATGACCCACAGCTTCATAAATTGGTTGATATTGCTTATCAGTAATCAACTATGTACCTTGGGTAGTCGTGGTAAAGCTAATCAAATTGGATCCTGAATTTCTGCAAATATTTTTAATTATAAATTGTGCTTGCCATACCCAAGATTTCAGCTATTTTACAACCTTACAATTCCCAGTTCTGATACAGGTGTATGTGTTATCCTACTCTGTCTCAACATCCACTAACTTAATCCCATTCTGTGGAACTCCCTCCCTATCCACCTTAAAACATAGTCACAGAAAAGTCAAGGGCACTGTATAAATGTTTCTGTTGTTACTGAGCTATGTTATTCATTCTAATTATCATTTTCAGAATAGCACTCTGCATTGATGACCAGAGCAGGTTCTCTCTAAGTACTCAGAATCTACTTGGTAAGGAAGCTATCAAACAGAGGCAACTACAGCTACTGGGCTACGATGTTGTACAGGTGAGTACACTAGTGGAGTAGAGCTTGGGAAAGCTATAAATATTTGGGATACATACTTGGACAAATGGTTATGAAATGCTTTGTCAATAATTCCAACTTTCAAAGCTTTTATATTGATAACCTGTAATTACAATCAGTGTCTGCACATAAATTTATACATGTTTATTAAATTATTACCTAGGATGATGTGAAAACCTGTAATTTGTTTTATCTAGATTCCATTCTATGAATTTGACAAGCTACAGAACAATAAGGAAATGGTGGAATACCTTCACAAGAAGATCTTTCCATACAGCTACAGACTTGCTTGGTGATAAAAGCTAAAACAAAGAGTGAGTTAATTTCCACCTTTAGAAAGCCATTGTCAGCTGTAGGCAATATGTATTGGTGGCCACCTTTACCTATTTTTTTTGTCTTGATTACAATTGTATAAATAAAACCATTATTGAAAATAATGTGCAAAAATAAACTCCTGAAATAATATTAGTTGTGTATTTATGCATTTCATTTTTGTAGAAAGGGAACTAAAAAGTAAGTCCAGTTTTAAATGTACTTATTTGAAATACATTATTCTTGTAGCCACGGATTAACATACCTAACTTCAGGGATCTTTGAAGTTTAAAAGGTAAAGGTTTTGGGTGGAACAAATAAAGTAAGTTTGAGATAGTACAAGATGAATATAGCTGATAGGTCCAAATCTGCCATTGTGCATGGTAAAGCCAATCTGATTAGCTACACTATATGCATGAAAGCAGTTGTATATTTGCTCCCCACATTTCTTTTCATTTTTCCTACCGCTGCCTGGACTTAAGGTCCACACACAGCAGTGGATTCTAGAACTAGAAGCTAATGCATCCACAAGCCAGTCAGCACGTGTGGACTTCTGAGCAGCCACACAGCTTAGACGGAAAATTGTTTGAGACTGATTTGAAATGTTAGAAATATTCATTTGTGTATTGATTTGAACCATATTATCCTAACCTTTTATTAGCTATATGTCTGTCATGGCATTTTATAATCATAAAATGGTTTGTACAGGAAACAGCCATTCAGCCTCTTGTTCATCTTCAGCCAGATAGAAGATTTGAAGTGTATGGGAAAGGTGGGGGATAGCACAGGATAGAATTGTTCTTGCAAACGTGCAAACAGCTCCCATGCATATCACTTCAAACCTTCTATATTGAGGGAATGATTCAACCTTCTTGTGAAAGCTATGCCTGAATCTTATTCAATCACACTTGGGCAGTGCACCCAAATCCTAACCATCATTGCATGAGAAAGGTTCCTTCATATCACTGTTGCTTCTTGTCCCAAATCACCTTAAATTGGTGATACATTTTCATGATGGGAACATTCTCCCCATCTATTCTGCCCAGAGAACTTCATGAGAAGAATGACTCGAGCATCTCCAATCCATTTACATAAAAGAGGTTCATCATTCACTGAGTCTATTGCCTTTTGGTTCCTTCCTGAGATCTGGTGCCAAGAACTGGGTGCAATAATCCATTTGAGGGTGATCTAGTGTTTTAAACAGGTATTTTTAATTACTTCCTTGTTTTTGTATACTTTTCCATAATTTTATAAAGTCCAGGATTCTTTATGCTTTATTAGTTGCACTCTTATGCTGCCCTGCCACCTTCAAAGATTTGTCCACATCTCCAACGTAGTTACTGGTAGCAATGTTAAAGATAAACTGATCTTTTGCCCCACAGTGGCATGAAAACATCTTTCTCTCTTTTCACATTCATCTCAATGGACTATTTACTTTCAATCTAAAAAGAATGGGAGTTGCCCCAAAACTTAAGAAAGCAAAGGTGTGTGTTACAATAGCCTCGTATCAATTGCTTCTAAAGTGAATAAGCACTTAAGCTTATTCACTAAGAGACATTTTTTAAGAGTTATTCATGATGTCTCCAAGGAATGTTAAATAAGTTAGACATATCAAATGAATTAAATGAAGTAATTTATTAAGGTATGCCCTTTTGACTAATTACCACATGCAAGTAGTCCATCGTACGGCTAGAATACAAAAAAGTTTATTTCGTGCCAACCACATACAACCTGGTGTCTTTGTAGTAATAGAGAACCTTCTGATGTGATGATGTAGGAGGTAATTATCAGAGTAAACGTGTTACTGTCCTGGAAAGCAATCTGTTACCTTTATTACAAAGTTTCCACTCCAAATCATTTCTTACACCAGGTTGTGAATAATTTAATAGTTCTTTAGATTAAATAGCAAAATCTAGACAGGGTGGTTCCTTACTATTATACTCCTTTGTTATTTTCTGTAAAATCAGTCAGCAAGAGTGAGGTTCTTTGATTGAAGCTTTTCTAGTTCCTGTGAGATATTTGTTTCAATGATGTCACACTGAGCCAAGTAATTCTGCAGCCAAAAGAAGAAAAATTTCACACTTAGACAAAATGTAGAAGTTTTACACATATGTTTGATGGCAACTTTCTGGGCTGGTATTAACTTGCCATTATCTGGGATAGACTTCAATCTGCTTACAACTGTTAAACAGTGTCTACTAATCATTTGTTTAATGATGGACAGAACTAGTGGGATACCTTGGCGAGCTATTCCCCTCCCTGACAGAAGAGCATGTTTGCAAGTACAACGTGCCCCTATCACGTCCTTCAGGCTTCAAGGGCATTTTCAAACCTGTCTGCAGTTAACAGTATGGTGTTGTCACCCACACTCTAAATATTCAGTTCAACCATTTGGACTGCTGATACATCACATTTTCATGCCACTGGAGCTGGAAACTCTGGCCAGGAAATGTAAACCAGCTATTACCTAGACAGACCCGATAATTCAGCTACTAGTCTCAGGCTGGTTAACAGAGCATCAAACTTGATCTTTCCAGACTTCTCAATTGTGTATGTTGGGGGATTTACATTTAAACCATTTACACACCTGCTTGCAGCTAATAGATTTGACTAAATTGCAGCAAAATACCCACTGTTCAAATTTTGAATTGTCAGTGTTTCAGATTTAAATTAAAAAAACCCTACAAAGTGTAGTAAATTTATAAAAATTATAAACCACTAAAAATATAGATTAATGAAATAAGTGGTCAAACATTCCTTGTTTTGTTTAGTTGTTTCAGTGATATTGGTTACAAGAGACGAAAGTTGAGAATACAATCTAAATTAATGACAGGAACAAAAACAGAAGTTGCTGGAAAAGCTCAGCAGGTATTTTTTTTAATAGAATCCCTACAGTGTGGAAACAGGCCCTTTGGTCCAACAAGTCCACACTGACCCTCAGAGCATCCCATCCAGACCCTTCCCCCTATAACTCACCTAACCTAAACATCCCTGAACACAACAGGCAATTTAGCATGGCCAATCCACCTAACCTGCACATCTTTGAACTGTGGGAGGAAACTGGAGCACCTGCAGGAAACCCACACAGACACAGGGAGAATGTGCAAACTCCACACAGAGTCGCCCAAGGGTGGAATCGAATCCAGGTCCCTGGCACTGTGAGGCAGCAGTGCTAACCACTGTGCCACCGTGCCGCCCCAGTCTGGCAGCATCTGTGAAGAAAATATCAGAGTTAACGTTTTGGGTCCGGTGGCCCTTCCTCAGAGCTGATGGTAGCTGGGAAAACGTCGGCTTATATGCAGAAAATAGGGAGGGGGATGGGGTAGGGAGTAAATGATAGGATAGAGCCCAAAGAGAGAGAACAGTTGGATAGACAAAGGAGCTGATACCGATCTGGCTAAAGAGGGTGAATAGTGGTTAATGGGGACTGTTAGTGACTAACAATAGGTAGTGTGTAATAGTAGGCTATATGATAACAAGGCCTGTAGGGGGCTAGGACATGGGAGAGTTTAGGCCCTAAAATTATTGAACTCGATATTGAGTTCAGAGGGCTGCAGGGTTCCCAAGGGGAAAATGAGGTGTTGTTCTTCCAGCTTGCATTGAGCTTCACTGGAACACTGCAGCAAGCCAGAGACACAGATGCTGGCCAGTGAACAGGGTGGTGCGTTAAAGTGGCAGGCAACTGGAAGCTCAGGGTCTTTTTTGCAAGCAGAACGTAAATGGAGGCTATGTTTGTGCCCTTGGATACTGGGGAGGGAGGAGGTAAATGGCAGGTGTTGCACCTTCGCCAGTTGTAAGGGAAGGTGCCATTATCAATTAAATTGGGTACCAACTACACTCAAAACACAGTATGGGAGCGAGTCTGACTTTCAAACATCTGAAAGATATCTCAAATTTCAATATACAAGACAAACTCACCTGTACATTCTTTACTAGACCTTTCCTCCTATGTCTGCAGTCACTAAAGTCATCAGGCAAACTCTTGAAAATAAATTTAAAATATTTTACTTGCAAGGAAGAAACAGTATAAATGCACAAATTTGATCTACAGTGTGTTTACAATTTAAATTTGGTCTGGAATTTCCTAACGGAGAGGACAGTGCACTACGATACTGAGTCATCTCATGAAGTTTGGTAAATATTATGTTCCAGGACCTTTCAAACGCATCTTTCTTCGGCATTCAGTCATTATTAGCTCAGACTGGGGCCATACAGCATTGGTTGCACTTAGAGAAGATTTCTACCCAAAATGCTTCAAAACAAAAATCAAGAATACTGAATCATGCAGGATATGTACCTCAACCAGTCATTTCACAAGGATCAACTACATTCATTCACATCGTTGTGAGACCATTTTAGTTTACTGTATTTTAAATAAAAAAGGAACTAGAGTTTAATACCGGGAACACAGGATGGGGGGGATCAGCCCATCAGACCCATCTGCCATTCAACTAAATCATCGCTGATCATCTACTTCAACACCACTTTCTCACACTATCCCTGTAGACCCAGATGTCTTCAGTATCCAGAAATCTTAGTGATTTCTGTCTTGAACTAGTTGAATGAATAAGCTTCCACAGCCTCTGTGATAGAGAATTCCAAAAATTCACCAGCCTCATCTCAGTCTTAAATTGCCAATCCCTTATGCTGAAACTCGGTCCTCTGGTTCTAAACTTACCAGCTTGGGGAAACATCCCATCTACATCCACCCTGTTAAACCATGTAAAAATTTTTAAAATTTCCACGAGATCACATTTCATTCATCGAAGCACTATCCTCAAAATCAACTACAAACATATTGCAGTGCCTAAAGAACTGATCAGAGTATTAATTGTTCAAGTAAGCTGGCTGTTACATTTAGCTACATCTAAATTTGACAGAAATATATTGTCTATATCTTGATTAAAATATATTGCAAGCTGGTGTTCACTGCTGATCCATTTTTGCTGAAGAAAGTTTAATTATCAACTTGCAAATGCTTGAAATATAATTTTCTGAAGTTCTGGATTGAACATCTTTTAGAAAAAAAAACCTTTGAAATAAGGTATCAAAAATTGTGAACTCTTTTTAACAGAACTGGAATTCATTAAAATGTACACTGCAGACTAATGAGATAAACACAAATTTTCAGTTAACTACTACTTCTCCAAAAACAGAAACTCTATTTATACAATTTGTACATATCTGTAATTTTCTCTCACCCACCATAGCATCAATCTGTTCAAGAAACTTCATACACTGTTCAGATGTGGTCTTCACCTTCTTCTCTAATTTGCTTAATGCAGCTGATTGAAGATCTCGGGCTAGGAACCCCTGGATGGCAACAAAACAAAATCTCAGCACAAATTATTTTATACTTGTACATCATGTTTCATACATCCCATGTTGCAAGTTAAACCAAATGCTCAACATCACAGGAAACTACCAAAAATGTTCAGCCATAATTCTGCATCAGATCTATTGACCCTTAACACTTTTAAAATATGATCAAGTACAAAGATTTTGTGTAGTTTTATTACATTAGGTGTGAATCATTACTTGCGTATTGCTGGGAAAAAAAAAATTTTGTTGAAGCTTTTTGCCCTGCACTCATCAGGACATTTTGCTAAACTTACAAACATGGAAGCTGGAGCAGGACTAGGCCATTCAATCCCTCAGCTTGCTCTGCCATTCAATACAGTCGTGGCTGATCACCGAGCTTAATACCCTAATCCCACCCTCCTCTCGATATCCCTTCATCCCTTTAGCCACAAGAGCTGCATCTACTTCTTTCTTGAAAACACAATGTTTTTGCCTCAACCACTTTGTGTTATTGATTTCCACAGGCTCACCACTCTCTGGGTGAAGAAGTTTCTCTTCATCTCAGTCCTACGAGGTTCACCCCTTATCCTTAAACTATGAACCCTAGTTCTGGATTTCCCCCCCTACTGGGAACATCCTTCCCACATCTAGCCTGTCTAGCCATCTTAGAATTTTATAGGCTTCTATAAGATCCCCTCTCATTCTCCTAAACCCCAGAATACAATCTTAATTAACTCAACCTCTCCTTATATGTCAGTCTGCCATCCCAGGAATCCATTTGGTAAACCTTTGCTAAACTCCCTCCATAGCAACAACATCCTTCCTCAGATAAGGAGACCAAAACTGCACACAATATTCCATGTGTGGCCTCACCAATGCCCTGTATAATTGCAGCAAGACATTTTTTATTCATTCATGGGACGTGGGGGTCACTGACTGGCCAGCATTTATTGCCATCCCTTGTTGCACTTAAGAAAGTGGGACTGAGCTGCCAAATTGAACCACTGCAGTCCATGTTCTGTAGATTAACCCACAATGCCCTTGGGGAGGGAATTCCATCATTTTGACACAGCGACAGTGAAAGAATGGTGATATATTCCCAAGTCCGAATGGTGAGCAGGTTGGAGGGGAGCTTGCAGTTGGTGGTGCTCCCATCTGGTGCCTAGATGGAAGTGGCCGTGGGTTTGGAAGGTGCTGTCCGAGGATCTTTGATGAATAACTGCACTGCATCTTGTAGATAGTAGCAGCAGTGGGTACCGAGTGTTGATGGTGGAGGGAGTGGATGTTTGTGGATGTTGTGCCAATCAAGCAGGCTGCTTCGTCCTGGATGGTGTCAGGTTTCATAAACATTGTTGGAACTGCACCCATCCAGGCAAGTGGGGAGTATTCCATCACACTCCTGACTTCTGCCTTGTAGATAGTGGACAGACACTGGGGAGTCAGGTTGTGAGTTACTTGTCACAGTATTCCTATTCCTAGTCTCTCCCCTGTGTGTTATTACTGTACTTAAATCCCTCTCACTCCTTTGCCATACAGTTTGCCATTTTTTCTGCCTGCTTGCTTTCAGTGACTAGTGCATGAGGACACCCCAGGTCTTATTAAACATTCCCCTCTCTCAATTAATAATGTTTCAAATAATAATCTGCCTTCCTATTTTTGCTACCAAAGCGAATAACCTCACATTTAACCACATTATACTGCATGTACTATGCATTTGCCCACTCATTCAACCTGTGTAAATGACACTGCAACATCTCTGCATTCACAGCGCACTCTTCCACCCAGGTTTGTGTCATCTGAATGTTGAGTTATTGCATTTAGTTCCCTCATTTAAATCATTAACATATATTGCGAATGTCCCAGTACCTCAATCCACTGGCTCAGAGTTCTGTAGAACCTGGCATGCCGGGTATCGTCTCTGCCATCAGGTGAGCCTGGCTTCTATGGGACTTTGCCACCAAAAAAATTACAGGAGTACAGCCTGGAAGAGCCATCCACTTCAGACTGGTTGCAGGGTGAGTTATTACTTCTTAAAGGATTTATTTATGAATTCAGATAAACTAGAGGCAAGACTGAATTAAACTGCACCCCAAAGGATGGAGTTATTTTAATGCAGAAAGAAAGCACAAAGACACAATTTAATTAATGTAGCACCAGACTAGTCACTGTCTGCCATTCAGAAAAGGACCCTTTTATTCTTCCCTTTCATTTCCTGTCTGTGAACCAATTTTCTATCCATCTCAATACATTACTCCCAATCCAATGCACTTTGATTTTACACATTAATCTTTTACGTAGGACTTTGTCAAAAAATAAACCATTACCACCATCTCAAGGATAATTAGGGATTGGCAATAAATGCTGGCCTAGCCAGCGATGCCCAGATCCATGAACAAATTTTTAAAAATAACTCAAGATGGTAAATATTAGCATGTCAATGTAAAATAACAACTGAGTCCTGTCCTGTCCTGTCCTAAACTACTTTAGTTAATATTCCCAGACCAGAAATTGAGGCCAAATGAAATATGCCCAACAGCAAAAATGAAATTCAGTAGTATAACCTGAAAGGTTAACTTGGCACTTACATTTCAACACTGAGCTATTGAGAGACACAATATTCACGAGTGATTTTCCAAAACAATTACTAAGGAAGTTAAAACAGCAAAAATCTGTTAAATATAGACTAAGAAACAACACTCTGCATCATAATATTTAGTGTGTTCCAATAATATAAATGTCTGAACATTCCCAATACCGTGCTCCCACATTTAACAGATTTGCAGTCCCCAAGCCAACTGACAAAATGTATCCAATCATTACCAGAGAAGTTGAACAGTTTATGATCAGTGCACAAGAATAGCATGAGAGTAATTTTGGTCAAGATACTCAGCTGCCCCTGAAAGGACTGGAACTTTAATTGCATATTTCACACAATGGCCAGTGATCCAAATATAGGGACAGCAAGGTCTGTAAAGAAACCGGCAATCTTGGCTGCATCCACACACACAGCAATCTAGCCGCATTTTAGTTTTTGCAGGGAGGAGAATTTAGTTGTAAGAATAGCAAAATGACAGCATTTTCAAAGACAAATAAGGACTATCTCACATTCTGAATGCCTGTCAGCTCTGCATTAATTTCTTCCAGTTTGTGGGAGAGCTGGTCTGTGGATTTTTCCAGCTCCTTTAACTTTTTTAATTCAGCTTCCTCCTCAGGACTGTTCTGTAAGTTGAAAGAAAACGATGGTCAGGTCAGGATGGATTTCTTCAGAAGAAAACTTTGATGGGGGAGGGGGTGGTGTGATTTTTTGCATAGTTCTTAAAATATGATAAGATAGTTATTTAAAAAGTAATTTGTTGTATCTTCATGTAGGCAAATGTAGTGGCCACTTTGTACTCAGCAAGATGCCATAAACATCAACAAATGATCAATCAGTACATCTGTTTCTGATAATGTGGTGAAAAGTAGAATGTTGACCCAGACACTGCCAACAGAATTCCTTAAAGGTACCAATATGTTCTGAAATCCCTTTTTAACTGGTAGAAGAGGCAACTGGGGTTCTGTTGAACATCTCATTTGAAAAGTTACAATAATGTAACACACCCTCAGTTCTGCAAAGATTAAGCCCAGACAACTGGCATGGATCTTTGCTGCACATTGTTAGAGCCCTCACAGATTTTTCTCATTATCTTTGTTTTATTCTTTTATCAATTGGGCTTGGAGATGTGAGCTGGGAACCGTGAGCTACACAGGGCTTTTGGACTTATGTTAAAAGGAAAACAGATCAAACAAGCTTTTGTTTATTTATGAGCGGAGACCTGGAAATTAATTGCAGCTTGGGTTCCTGAAGAAAAGGTTCTGCAGATGCTTCATCATTAGGGAAGAACAGATAGCAGAAGTTGGCTATTAATGAGGTCAGTACCTGGGAATTGGTTCCAGCAAGTCTGGAAAAAATCTTATGCTAAAGCAGATGGAGATGTTGAATGGTAACTGGAGGAAATGGTCAGTCTGTCTGGGAATGGTCAGAATTTGAATTGGGTTTTAAACAGTGTCTTCTGTGGAAAGGAATCTGGCTGTTGATACTACAGCATGAAGATTTGAAAGCTCCCGATCTAACCCCCTATAAGCAGCTCTTGGAAGGTCATAGAATAGAGAACTAAATTTAAGTATTGCTGCCTTTATCTGAGTGAACTGTAAAGGTGACCCCAAACAGTATCTTCAGACAATCAACCAAGAAACCATCACCTATGCATCATGAAAACCACCTAAGTAATCTGGTCAGTTTTGTTATTTACTTTTATTTATGCTTTAATGTATATCTGACTGCCTTTTGTGTGAATGGGGCTGAAAATGATGGTTTTTAGGTTTATAGCATAGACCAATAAGATTACTTTGTTGTTTAATTTTGCTTTACTAAAGTTATTGTATTGTAAATAAATAGCTAAGTTTTTGTTTAAGTTACAAACTGGTGTCAAAAACTGATTAAATAATCAATTCCAGACTTTGTGAATAAAGTCTCATTAGGAACCGTTGGGGTCAATTTTGAGAGTTTTTGAAGGTTTTAATTTTACTGTGTTGCGCATACAGAGGTAGAAAGGCTGATTTGGTTTGGCTGTCTTGTCTCTGTGTCATAACATTTCCTCCGGCATCTTCGGATCCCAGTTGTCCCAAAATTAGTATGCCTGGGGGAATGCCATTGGAGCAGAGCAGAGTTGGGGAATAACAAGACACTTTCACAGCTGTAGCTGTACAGCAATTTTAAAGATCTGGTCTAAATGTAAACGAATGGGTTAGAGGGAAGGTGGGTGAGATATGGAGGAGGATATGTGAGTAGTCAGTGGTCACGTTTGGTCAAGGGGGTAGTCAAGTCGGGTTAACAATTGGGTCAGTAAGTCAGATCTGATCCAGAGGGTGCCTGGGAGGTGGTAGTTGCATTGCATCAGAAGGGGTTGTCAGTTTGGGAATGGGCTAGTTAGATCAGGTTGGGAGGGTGATCAAGTAACTAGTTGAGAGTTGAATAGATGGTTGGGATATTCAGATTGGGTTGGAAATGATCGGGTTAAATCAGAGGAGAGTAATTGGGGGCAGTCAGGAGGGACAACAGCAGGAGTGGGGAGTAAGAATGATTGTAGGGTTAACCAGATGTTAGACTAGGCCTTAATCTAACATTTATAACATATAACATTTCCTCGGTAATTATCCAGGCAACTACTGCAGATCTGTCCAAAATCTCTAACTCTAAATCAGAGGCATTTGTGGACAGTCCAGACCTGCCAGGAAATTGCCCATAAACTTCCCAGACATTTCCCACGTAAGATCACTTATCTAAGTTCTACAAGGTCCTGCCACACACACCTTTAGCCATACACGACAGATAGCAGATGTACAATTGGAGGTATGCAGACTTAACATCCTGCTAATGGATTACCAAAATGACTAACCGTGTTAAAATAACTGAATCTATGTAATCAGAAAGACACTTCAATGTGCCTGTTGTTCTAGCTGACATCAAGTAATTCTTGGTTAGAGACAAAAAATGTGCAGATGCTGAATTCCAAGGTGGACAAACAGGAAGCTGGAAGAACACACCTTGGAATTCAGCATCTGCACATTTTTTGTCTCTAACCAAGAAT